TTGTTTCAATATTTTAATAATCAAGTTTTATAATCAATTTCTACACCCTTTAATTTCTTCCCATGGTGTACCGTTTAAGTTTTACATGTTTGTATTTTATTTCGCATTTGGCTTAATTATTAACTATGATGTATTCCTGACTCAGTAAATTACACAATCATAATATGTATGGTGACCTAGTATTCTATTTAGAATTTTCATCAGACACGAAGTCATTCTCTATTCTACCAAATTCTGATTCTACAAGACGTACCTTAGAATTCGCCTTTAGCAATTTCGCTTTACACCTGGTCAACTTAACTTCTCTGCATTCATCACCAATTTCAATTATTTCACCACCATCCACATCTTCCAATTCGGCGTAATTGGAGAGGACCTTATCGAGGACCCTATCGAGGACCCTATCGAGTCGCACTTACCAAATAATGCAGTGCAGTTGTTCGCGGATATATCTAGACCTGCACCTAGTTTTTTAAATCCGACACAAGTGAAATTTTCTAAACGGTTGTACTGCGCGCAGGGGCCGCGGAACCGTGGGGGCGTGGGGATAATGCCCCCATCGAAATTTTGAAACCTCATATCCCTTCCATGTTAACAAGCCCCTCCCCCCGATATCCCACAATGTTCAAGCCCCCAAATGCCTTCACACGTTCCGCGGCCTGTGACTGCGCGTTAGGAGATAATAAAATTCCGTCACCTCGATATCCATTACCCTTTGTAAATGAAAAATTTTTAAATGTGTTATCCTGGCCACTAGAACGAATCCCTGATCCTACGTTGTTTCCTGTCACATTGGAGATCGTGTTATGATGTGAGTAAAATTCAAAGCTTATACATCTACTTGAAATTGTCTCAAGTATTACGCGATCAATTTCATTGTAAGAACCAGAAATTCTCATGCCATCGTTCATGTGAGAAATATTTATGTCTTCGAATTGATTATGGTCGCCAGTTACTACAATTCCATATGATCCACCAGACAGAGAAATGTCATGCAATTTATTTTTATTGCCATATACTTTCAAGTAACGCAATCCTGTTTTATATACTTCGCCCTGCTGGAATTTGAGGTTTGAAATTTTATAACCAGTTCCACTAATATTAAATTCACCTCTGATGATGGTTTGTTCTCCTTTACCAATTATTGTGACATTTTCTCTCTTCATCTCAAACTTTCCCGAATACATACACTCGATAAGGGTTATTTCTAACCCAGGAACCGGATTCTTTAAACATTCCCGCAATTCTTCACCATTTCGAGCAACTAAATTTATTTTAAAAGTCCATGCTTCAACTATACCACTGACCTCGTCAATGCTTTGAATTCTATCATCTGCCTTTCTTTTTGTTAAGTCAATGATGAGCTGCCTGACACCTTGAATCTCTGGATGATCTACAACCAGGTGTTCTTCTTTATCATTTATTAGGCGGTCAAATAGGCGCTTCTTTTCATTGGACTTAAGGAGTTGACAAACTTCCCAAATTACCAACCCTAATGAGTACAGATCAGCTGGAAAACTGTAATCTTTTCCAAACGACTCTGGAGCCATAGCTTGTGACATATCATTTTTCTCAGCTAAACTAGGCGAACAGGACAGTACACGAATATCACAGTTGTGGTCACCGAAATATATTCCAAGTCTTTGCAATTTTGACCTAATTGACCTATAATCTAGGTCACAAGGTCAGAAAATGAACTAATTTAATTAATTTATTAAATAACTGAATTCTTTGCAAAATTTTCAAATCTGTTGTGACCGCTAAAGTGTTCGGAGTTTATGAACCGGTCACAAACCCAATGGGGGTGGTCGAGGGTGTGATTTTGAAAAACCATACCCCCAGATGGGTGTGGTTCCCAGCGCCTTAACATTTTCAATGAACACCATGTCATGCTACGCAAATTATTTGTCATTGAAGAAAGCCCATCGCGATCACCATCTCAAATTTTGAAAAACCACACCCCCATATAGGTGTGGTTTTCAGCGATTTCTTCATTATGAAAGTATATATCTTGTCTTTATATACCAATTACTTTTCAGGAGAGAAATGGTAGTTCGAAGTTGACCTCGAACAACGAAAAATCACACCCTTGATGGGTGTAGTGTTTTAGAGCTTATGATTTGATGCATGATCAAGTTCTTAGTAACAGGAGAATTTTATATATGTGCCAAAGTCAAACAAATAAATTTTCGATATTTTTCTTCGGTAAGGTTCTATGATGTACGACTCCTGCGTAGTCAGCTTTTCATATATGAATATGTAATCATTAATTATTCTGCGATTCACTACTTTTAATATGGAAAATAATAACAGAATAAACACCTAATTTTCGATGTCATTGAACATTTATTATTTGATGGCATGACGTGGTTTACCTGAATAATGTCGAGAGCATTATAGACCACACCCACCTGGGGGTGTGGTTTTCGTTGTTCGTGCTAACCATCTGGATGGCCTTTCTCTCCCGAGAAATAATTCAGGTCTCATGACATGGTTTACTTGATAATAAAAAAAGCGCTGAAAACCGCACCCACCTGGGGGTGTGGCTATTTATTATTTGAGGTCGTCATTGGGATGACCTTTGCTCACTGCAAATTTTTTTGTGTCGCATGTCATATATACCTAAAACAGAATAAAAGTCGCTGAAAGCCACACCCTCGACCACCCCCATTGGGTTTGTGACCGGTTCATAAACTCCGGACACTTTAGCGGTCACAATAGATTTGAAAATTTTGCAAAGAATTCAGTTATTTAATAAATTAATTAAATTAGTTCATTTTCTGACCTTGTGACCTAGATTATAGGTCAATTAGGTCAAAATTGCAAAGATTTGGAATATATTTCGGTGACCACAAGGGTGATTTTCGTATACTGTCATGGTCGCCATGATGAGCTGAGAAAAATGATATGTAACATTCCGTACTTTGGATATAGCATTAGGAAAGCGCCATGCTCCACACCCACTGGGGGGTGTGGTATTCAAATTACCCGAACCTGTCCTGTTCGCCTAGTTTAGCTGAGAAAAATGATATGTCACAAGCTATGTTTCGGATAAAGCATGACAAAGCGCTATCGACCACACCCACTGGGGGGTGTGGTTTTCAAGTTATCCGAACCTATGATATTCGGTCGAATTCTGCTTGCTGAGTTGAGAAAAATGATATGTCACAAGCCATGCTTTTTGTAAAGCATTACGAAAGCGCCCTGGACCACACCCACTGGGGGGTGTGACCGCTTATCAATAAATTCAGGCAGCACACAGACTAATATGACGTCCAGACTGAGTTTAATTTCATAAGAGATGACGTGAGATATTAATATTTATGTAATTTAATATTTGCCCCTCCCCCTGACCACCCCCATTGTGACCTTTAATAATATTTTGATGACCAATTGACCGATAAGGACGGCCTGAGTACCCATTGATAAGAAGTAGTAGAATATGCAAACGAATATCGTAATTTTATCATACAAATTAGTTGAGAAACAAGGACATTTTTCTGACCTTGTGACCCTGATTATAAGTGGGTGTGGTCGAAATTTCAAAATCTGGCAATACGTATTTTGACCTGGTATCAGAGGTTTTCAAAACAGTTCAAATTTTTAAAATAGGTTGGAAAATGAAAAAGTATTTCAGATTTGAAATTTCAATGTTATTAGGCATTACAAGGTCGGCCACTTACTGATTTAGGAAAATGGCAAAATTGGCTGTAATTTAAAAATTCATACGAGTCTCGTGGCATTTAAACGTCAGCAGGTATTCTGAGTCGTCATCGGGATTTTTCCATATTTGCCTGGAAACTGTTTGGCATGAAGGACCTAAATTGAGCTCGCTGGCTTGTTTTATTGTTTCATAATCAAAATGTGTGTTCATTTTTTCCGAAATTTTAGAGCGAATATCTTTAAAATTTTCTAAACGTGGATCAGGTGGTGGTGGGTTAGAATCAAATTTTGCTACAGCATTCCGTACCCATTTATACTTAGAAGGCTCTAATTGTAAGCGGGTATAAATTGTAGATATAATGTCCCCCTCCCTGTTGCTTGACACCACAACCTATAATAAATGTTGAATAACCCCAGAATAAATTGAGTGGAAAATACTATTTGGTATTAAGTAAAGAAGTTAATTTGACCTGAAATTCTGTATCCTGTGTTTCGTTTAGACAAACCGGTGTCAATATTTCAAAATGGTTCAACGCAAGGGCACCACTTGGTTTTGTGTATGACCCTTCTTCACAGTGAGAATCGGCATATGCTGCAGTCATGCACATGTCCATATATCCTGCACATGGAAAAATTATTTTGTCTCCGATTAGATGATCTTTTAAGAATGGCACGCGCTTCACGTTCACTCTTGATTCAGAAATTGCATTTTCTGATGCATTTGGAATGTAGGACCCAAGAAGTGGATGGAAAGGTGTTGTTCCTCCATCACCAATGTTAAGCCAGTGAGATGTCTCCTCAAATATGTATCCGGGCAGATCAACTTTCTTTGCATTAGAGAAACGGTGAAAGTTAGTCCATTTTATAGGTATGCCGACTGTATAAAGTTTAGCCAAGGTCGATAAGATAGTCCCCCAATCTGAATTCTTCTTGCGAATAGATGGTAACAGGATCAGGTTATCTGCAATCTGTAATATTTGTAATAAATTTTTCACCCCACGATTCCCGCATACGGAGTAGGCAAATTTCTACAGAAAAAATTGCGGTCTGGCTTACCGTTGTTGATTTTAACAGGTATTTCGAATTATCATTCTCATTATAAATCGCCTCCTTGATAGACAATCCGTATTTATCGTTAAGAATCGCTTCAATTCTGTCGAAATTAGACCTGAATACCACGTTGCTCCTATAGAGTTGTTTTCCCATTTCTGGGTATTGAGAGCCTTGTCCAGTAAATAGAATGCAAAGTTTTGGAGTGACCTTGGGAATCGAAATTGTTGCGCTATCGAGATTTCGAATTAAACAAATTAATTCCTCTTTGGTAGTTCCTAATGCCGTCAGGCGATGAGTAAAATGAGAACGACCACGTAAAATGTAAACTCAATATCTTCCAGATTTTGAGTACAATCTTTAAGAAAGTTTGTGTATTCATTGAGCTGTGCAATTAAAGAAGTCTCCGTCTTTGCCGAAAATGTAAGCATGCTAAGTTGCCTGGCGTCTCGAGAGGCATAAACGTTATAGTTTTGTGTTTCTGGAGGTTCCTGGATAATGACATGTGCTTGAGCTCCAGTAATTCCGAAAGAGTTTATACCGGCAATTCGTGGCCTTCCGTAACAATTTTTTCTCCACGGAAGCTGATCCACAGGAATCAATGCGGGTATTGATGCAATGTCAATATTAGGATTGAGTTGATTAAAGTGAAGATGTTTTGGTATTTTGCTATATTTCATTGCCAGCACTATTTTTTGAATGCTGGCGATTCCACAAACAGATTCCGTGTGTCCAATATTTGTTTTAACAGAACCTATGATCAATGGGTTATCCTCGTTCCGTCCGCCATAGACTTGTGCAATTGCAGCAACTTCGACAGGATCTCCAACGGGTGTGCCTGTCCCATGAGTCTCAATAAATTTGACGTCTCTAGGATCCACTCCAGCACGGTCGAGTGCAAGTTGCATAGATTTTGCTTCAACTGCTGTAGTTGGTGTCCCCATACTTCGGGATGTCCCTTCTTGAACTATTGCAGATCCACGGATTAGTCCCCAAATCCTATCACCATTGGAAATGGCATCAGGAAACCTTTTCAAAATCAGGACACCTGCACCTTCAGCACGTCCAAATCCATTTGCAGCAGCGTCGAATGTTTTACATCGTCCATCTGGTGCAAGAAAACCCTCCATGATTCCTCCATCAAGACTAAACGGGTTTAGAAGGAGGTTTACTCCAACTTGCAGTATCGCAACTTTCGTTTCGCAAATTATCGCAAGCCATATCAACTCCCGCGACTGACGTAGAGCAACCACTTTCATTCGAAATTGAAGGACCAATTAGTTCAAAAAAGTGAGAAATTCTAGCCGTCAAAGGACCCAGAGCGTTACCAAGGTATATTCGCAAAAAGTCCTCATTTGAAATTCCTTGGGATTGCAGAAGTTCTTTAAAATCACTTCTCCACCATCCTCCAAAGACTCCGGTGATTGTATTCTTTAACGATGATGGGTCAATGCCGGCATGCTCTAAGGATTCCCAGACAACTTTAAGTGCAATTCGCTGCTGTGGGTCTAGGTATTTCAAATCGGCTTGATTCGTGTTAAAGAATTTTGCATCAAACATATCCAAAGGGAATGATAGAAATCCAGCTTCTGTTTTGCGGACGTCATCCATCGTAACAATCGCAGTATCTTTAGTCCACCTCCATTCTGGCACGCGTATAATTCCGTCCATTCCGTTTTCCAATAATGACCAAAACTCGTCAATATTATTTGCACCTGGATATTTGCAAGCCATTCCAACAATTGCGATAGAATTACAAAGTTCGTATTCAGACATGGGATCCAACTGTTAAATTATCGGTAATTTAGTTACATATATATGCATCTAAAACGTAATTGATGCTAATATACAATTTGTTATTGAGTAACACTTTATGCCTCACTTAATTCACTACATTTTTTCCATTTTTTTGTCAAAATTTTGATAAATGTTTACTGTAAAATTTGTCTATAATCAAAAACGATTGAGATTGGATTTATATGTCCACCTGCTTTCAGACTAACACATTAAAAATTTAACGAGGCCCAAAGTGCGTCAGATAACTAATTAGGTAGCAACGAAATAAAGTAATTACAAGTTCTTTAGAAGATTTAGCGGGTACAAGAGAATTCCAAACTTGTGTCAATCCATACTCGAAAGTGTCATATTTTTTACATGTTCCTTCCATTGGATGACCACTATGCATGAAGTATACCATCTTGACATCATCCCCATTTACGGCTTGAGGATATTTACTGCAAGATTAACATCCATAGTGAATGTAAATATACAAATATAAACAATTTGTCTGTACCTATGTACTTACCAGGTAATATTTATCTCTTTGCAGTGGATAAATTTTCCGTACGATCCCTCGATCTGAGCAATGCTGTGCTTTCCAAGAGTAAAATCATTTTCAATTTCAACAATTTTATCAATCATTTGTCCAGTTTTATTTCCAGGTTTTGAGCAGACAACGACAGCGGCACGCCGATATTCGTCTGTGTCGACCCATTGCATACCTTTTTCGCGAAAGATTGAGTCACAATTTTTTAAAACGAGGCAATTGCAATCCAGAAACACGCTGCATTTCAGTTGAGGAATCCGTTGAATGTAAAGTTTTGCCAGGGAGCGAAATTGCAAGTTTCGGCCATCCGTGGTTTTATGCCGAGTGTTAATACGACGGCAAACTTGAAATTCGTCCTTCAACAAATCCCTAATTTAAAATTTAATCTTAATTATGACCGCAGTTATTAGATAAATTTGTTGTAACATTTGTGTGATGTTTATTAAACATGAACTTATTGCAATCACTTTGCATTGCCATTAGCTGCAATTTTTTATTTTTAACTTAAGCAGCCGATATTTGAATAAAATTAACTTTAATATTACACTAAGAGTCCATTCATCCGACTAAGTTACATTAAGAGTCCATCAAGTCCATACAGTTTGCAAATTTGTAAGTTATTTGAAATAACTTATAAATTTTATTTTTAAATTTAAAGGACAACGATAGGTGAAAATCAAAACAGAGAACAGACTATCCTGAACAGCACGATATTCAAAACAAGTTTTAGTTGAATCAAATAATAAGGTTTGATTCTCTAATTTGATAAAAAATTCCACAAAATGAAGTTTCATTTCGCCCCAAGGTTTGAGGCAGCAACCATCGAAAAAACTCCAAAGAACCACGTGATTTTCTAAACCCTGAATGATTAGGGAGAAATTGGATGACTTTGGAGCATTTCTTAAAACTTTAAGAACAAATTATTATAGTGACTCTATGTAAAAAGCAAAGATTGCGGCATCCGGATCAGTGGTGAACCCCTAACGAGTGTCATCATGAGTAGAAATGGCACTAATTCCTTTCTAGATTTTGATCAGATGATATGTTTGCAATTATAAGTTTAGTTACCAAAATGCCTCTTCAAGTTTAGTCTTTCTTGCATAATTTGTGGAAAATATCCACACAAAGTTTGAATGAGAAAAATTATGAAAGTTGAAAGTCACTGATTTAATTTATAGAAGAATTGACAAAGTTGTAAACTACCAGGGCAAGAAATACCACTTACTTCATCGCGTTTGATACATCGCTGGATATTATGACACCAAGCGCTCTCGTGGTCAAGCTTCGCCGGAGAGAACGTCCCAGGCCGACACATTTCCACGGCTTCATTGTCGTCCCCTGCGTACGTTATCCACATCTGACTACCTATGGGGCCACAAAAAATTTGAGGTTGGGTTAGGAATTCGAAATTAGCAATTCGAAATGGGTAGAAGAATTTAAATTTCCTTTCATGATAATAGACTCGGCTAATAGCAAGAATGTGTGAAACGTAATAAATCATGCAGATAATTTTGTTCATGAATAATACACGGTTTTGTCGAAATGGAAATATAAATATGTTGAGAACCAAATTCCAAGTTTAGCAATATACTACTTTTGTTAAAATTAACTACAAATGTTAAATTTATACAGCTCACCAATATCTCCACCCATTTCGATAAGATTCGACGAGAAATATGAGACTTGGTATCAGGTTTACGAATTTGGTAAAATATTTAAAATCTTTTTACTTGAAGTAAATTAGGAAGGGCTTTGTTTGGGTGCTATTACAGAAAAACTGAAATTATTAATTGTGTTGAGGACGCTTATATACGCGGAAAATTTATTAGAAGCAAATGTCGACGAAGATAACTTACCATAAATCGTGAATAAGGAAAGTTACGAGGAAAGTTAGGAGGAAAGTATCTCCGGGAACACGATTCACAGTTGAGAACAGATCGTGTCGTATAAATCGTACTGGAAAGTATCCAGTTCCTCTTAAAATTAATGTAACGCGACAATAAAAATTAGAAACCAAACCATCAACTACCTTAACAAGAAATTGGTTAATTTACAGATCCAGTTTGGAGTCTAAAATTTTTCTTAAATTCTCTGACTAAGAGGAATTAAAATAATTTTTGGGAACCCGTATTTTCTTCAATAGGAATGTAGTGTTGAGAGGATTTAAATATTTTGCTGACAGGGTTTAAAATTTAAACTTTAAATTAAGTGAAATATGGGGTGCTTACTTCATTAAATGCATGCGTACCTAAATATATTAATATTTGTCGGTAAGCATTTTCCTTATCTTCGTTCCACTACATGGCCGTTTTGTTAAGACAAGATCATTATTTCTTAAATCAGCGTAGGCAATTCGTTAATTATTTACTTGACGGGTAGGTACCTGAAATTCTTTGTAGTTGCTCCTACCTACAGAGCTACCTTTCTGGTCATCTTACATAGTTTGGTTAATTAAACCTGGTAAGGGTGGTATCGATTTATTTTAACTATATATTTAATTGGTTTAAATTAATTAATTAAACGTAACATTGTATAGTTATTAAATCTTTGAATTTTTTTTTCAGTCCATGTCAAAGACTCAATAATATGCATGAGGTAACCATGGCAGTCTTACTGTATGATCATGTAGAATGTAAAATCATTTTTCATGCCCAGAGATATCCATTGGCGAGATTTGTCTTGGTTTTTAAGACACGACGCGACCTGTCGCTCACATTTCTTAAGAGACGAGACAGGATATTCACTCTGAGCTCTAGAATGGAGCACGTCACAAGTAAACATTGATCGTTCGTCTCAAGTGGGTATACACATAAGTGGTAACTAATTAGTGTTTGTTTGCAGATTGCTGCATCCCAGACTTTTCTCAGAAGTGGGTATGACGGTGGTGGCAAAGAATTCTGCAAACAGCACTTGTTTACGTACACGATTTATTAATTTGCGAGTGTGATTTTTTTCAGTCTAAGCCAACCAACTGAGCCAGAACGAATCTGTTCGACTTGAAGAAATTATTAAGAATTTTAAAATTGTAGCTTAGCGTAGATTTTATTTCTGAAGATGTGCAATAATTCGAAACACGGTGCATTGGCTGTCGCAAATTTTTCACACGGTATCACAATCACAATTATTTTTCTAACTATTTTTTCCAAATCTGATTAAGTCTCGTCTTTATTGAAGATTTGTATTGTTGCCGTATGGGGAATAATCTTCTATATATACAATCCTTGGAATGGAGACACCTGTAAGTTAATTAATTATAATTAAAATTCTATTAAGACTCAGAAAATTTAATTAAATAAGTATTTAAAAATTGGTAAGTATTCATGATTCCCATATTTTAGACTGGGGTGACTCATCCGACATATTTTTCCTTGTGCTTGGAATAACCTCGGTTATCTTGGTACCTATCACGGCTCTGTTGTGGATCGGGTGGAGAAAGGTAAATTATAATTAATTAATTAATTAAATTAACAATTAAATGTAATTTTGCTTTTGTTTCTTCACACTTGTTTGTAGGAGCATCTCGGATGCACAAAAGCCTGGCTTTACATCAACTGCGGTTTATTTGCTTTTGACCTTCTGACTACAATTTTCACAGGGATTTCAGTAGCGCTGATCGTTCGGAGTGTGTCGACTATAATTTTTCTCCTGGTGGTGTACAATTATGCAAAAATGTTGGAAGAAAAGCAACGAGTTGAACTTTCGAACCCAATTCCGTTTAATAGAATGCCGTAAGAAGAAGTGGATTAAATTTGTGGTATTTTCTGTGAAATGTATAATTATTAAGGTCATATTTATTAAATAAGTAATATCTTTATGCTAATATTTGTGCCTTTGTCATGGATTTACTAAGTAGATAAGCATGTACAGCAGATATTTTATTATTATAAAGGGAATAAAGCATACCGTGCATGTATTTTAAATATGGTAATTGTCGCTAATTATTTTTTGCGTGTTGTCCTCATGTCTGCTTTAATGTTTTGCTGTAGAGATTCTCCAAGTTTTTTTTGCAGAACAGTGGAGGGTGATGCCTATACCAAATTATTTTTATAGGATATAATTATTAAATAGAATTTGGCGCAAGGAGGTGCTGGAATTTTATATAGCAATTTTAAAATCTGGCGCGATTAATTACCCTGGCGTCGCTCTATAGCAAGTTGTGGTCACCAATATTTGCCCCACGGCTAATAGTATTGGTGATAAGGGATGGTTTCCAGATCTAAGGTTTGGCGCTACCATTCTGGATAGAGTCAACGTTCATTACTGGGCTTCCTGTATGATAAGATTGTTTTTTTGCAAATAATTTCGCCAGATAAACGGAAAATTATCTCATGTTTCTCTACACAATCCACTATTAATCCTGGATCAATCCATTGCTGTATTAGGATGAAATTGAGGAAAAAATTTACTCTACTTTTTGTCCTTAGGAACTTGGGAGATAACTGTTTGAAACTAATTTTCACCTCGGTTGCAGTAATTAGGTGTGGGCAAGGCGGAGAATTTGAATAGTACCCAGGCACAGGGTGTGGCGCAATGGCTCGTAGACTTAATTCCGGTGCCAGTGATTGTTGTAAATTGTGATGCGACCTGGGGGATGCAGAAAATTAAGAAATGTCGACATATACTCCGAGATGGATAACTTTTCGCCATTTTAAGCAATGTCGGGAATCAGTTATTGTATTTTGTAATGTTTCTGTAGATGATAAGATGGCGAGACGAGTTGATGAGAAAGTTTGATCGCGACTAGCGAGAGAGAAAGGTGTATTTTCTAAATGAGGTGGATGCCAGGACCGTATGTGTTGTGGGGAATCGTTGGGCCGTCCTTTCTAGTTGCATACAATTTAAAGCGATATATGTAAATAACTCTCATACAGAATCACATTGTGCTTTAAAATACTGGACAAATCTATAATTAGGGAGAGGTTAGAGGGTGAAGACAATAATGGGAATGAAATTTGTTTCATGTTTTATGAAAGGTATATTTTATTTGTATTTACTCTGGACCAGGTAGAGTATTGTATTCTTCCACAATGCCAAGAACGCTCCAAGAAACCAGTGTTTGTCCAGGCAGATGGGTTCTACCTGCCTGGATTAAGTGATTTCTCAGAAGGAGAGAAAGGCAAAACCTTTTCTAAAAATGTTACATCCTTCTTAAAAATCACGTCTACGAATTATTTAGTGACATTTATTATTATAAATACCTGCAAAAGACAGGAAAGGCTCAGTTCAAAAGTTTAATCCTGCCAAGAGGAAGAGGACGAAATCAAATTTCGTGGCAAATAAATTTGAGAATTTTGCACAAAATCTCAAAGTTTCCCACCTGTTAAATGGCACCAGTCAATGGTTAGTGAAAATTTAAGAAATATTTAAATTATTATTTTATTTTATTTGACTTATTTGCAGACAATGCTCCCCCATCGCCAATCATTCTGACACTCAACCACAACCTAAAGGCGAAATTGGTCTTCTTCTGGCGCCAATATCCCACAGGGACTAAGATCTGGCAGTATTTTCCAGACGTAACGCATGTGGAAAACGTCGTGGAAATATTGCAAATCTTCTCTGAGTCGAGGTAAGAATTAAATAAGTATTGCTAGCAAATGGTGCCGTTATACAAATTTTTTTAAATATGTTGTCTTATTTTTTGGTAGGAGTTTTTACTTCGAAAAAATTATGGAGACAGCGCGCCATCTTTTTGAAAAAAATCCTGACATGCCCCACTCCGAAATTCGGATTGCGGAAAATTCCGACATGTTCAAGACGCTACTTTGCTACTTTGACCGCTACACAGTATCACACCCCCGGACCGTTTCCACTTTTTTATGAATTGCGCGGTACAAGATTTTTTTGCCAAGTTGCAAAATGGCGAAGTTGACGTGGCAATGTGGAAGAAGAAGATCTGTCAGGTACGGTTTTCTATGTTTAAGTTTCTAAACTGGGTGAATCTTGTGGACTTGATGCAATTTTAAATTTAATTTTTGTTACAAAATTTAGATTGTGTCTAAATTAGAGAAAGACCCGCCGGAGTGGTTGCAATCGGTGGATTTTATGGAGTGGGTACACCTCGGAGGGGACGCGCCTATACGTTAAATTTTTATTTTTCTTGTCTTAATTTTGAAGTTGTATTAGTTAATTGCGAAATAATTCGACAGGTTAATTTTATTAATTATTTTAAATGTTAAGATATTAAAAATTAAAATCGATATTCGGAATAACGCTGCGTTTTGTAGATTTGATAAAAGTAAAATACATAATTTTTTATATATATGTTTCTGAACTATTGCGAATTTGATATCCAATTTGTGATTCGATTTTCTTGTCATGGGAAAAATTCAAATTAATTTTACACGAAACCAATAAGTCTGGTCTTACGGGGATGGAACAAATCTTATTAATTAATTAAAAAATACAGAAAAAATTACAAAATATTTAGGCAGCTATTGGTGCCGCATTCCCTGCATTTTGCGCATGCGCGCCTGCCGGCTTGTACGCAAGGACACAAAAAATGAGTAGGTTAAAAATAATTAGTGAAACTCCTATCACTAATGTAATATTCAGATTAGTTTCAACCGAAAAATACCCCGTCTCTGGTGGTTCCAGCCTGTCTAATTTCAAATTCCACCGCAAACAGCTTCGTTTCATGGAGAAATTGTCGGCGCCGAGCTTCTCCACAATCTCACATTTCCCTATGCTGTATCCCATCGTATAGTTGCCGTTCCTGCCACTTATTCTTATTTGAGAGGTCGGTTTCTCCTCTTCGACTTTGAAACTGATTGACCTCCACTCGGAAAATTCCAGTTTGACCTCATCGTCGAATTCCTTGGTGGAGAAAATATCGACGAGATATTCGAATGTGGAGGATGACGAATCTTCCTGGTCGGCTTTGATGAGGTGGAGATTCAAATATTGGGTTCGGTACAACTGGAGAAATAATTACGGACTGAATTTAGGTTTAAAAATTTTTAAATTTGGCGCGCTTGATTACCCGCCCATCGCTCCAGAGCCAAGTTTGGTCGCCCAGATTTGACCCGATGCTAATAGGATTGGTGATAAGGGATGGTTTCCAGACGTGAATTTTGGCATTTTCAGTTTTGATTGAGTCAATATTCATTACCGTTTGGTTTCCTGTAGAAAAAAAGGTTAGGTTTTTGCGAATAATTAGGTAAATACGTGCAAAATAAGTCACCTGTCTCTACACCATTCAGTTTTAATCTTGAATCCATCCATTCTTGCACGAGGACGAAATTGAGGAACAAATCAGTTCTATATTCTCCCGGGAGGAATTTTGGGGAGACCTGTTTGAAACTAATTTTTACGGTGGTGGAATCATCACGAGAGGATGGTGGGGAGTTTGAATCGTAGCCATGAGAATAGTGCGCCTCCCACTGGGCGCCGCGGCTGGAGGAGTTAATGGCAGTGATGGTATGTTGTGATGTGACCGGCCGGTAAAGTATGCAGGAAATTAAGAGAAAGCGCCACATTCTCGAGGAAGGGGGAAATATCAGGTGGGGAATTGATTATTTTATTTTAAAGTATTTCTCCGAGGATGGAAGGTATGACTGGCGAGCGAGGCAGGGGAGAAAGTTTGATTGGGAGAAAGAGATGGGAATTTTCTGAAATGAGGGGGATGTCTGGTTAGGGTTTGTGGGAAAAGTGGGGAAATTGTGCATCTATACGCATATAAATACATATATGGTTTTATATACCCCTAATGTAAGGCTATATGCATCTCAAAATAATGATATACTTGAAAATCCTGAAGAAATCTCCCCCTGTAGTCTAGCAAGGCAAGGATGCGATCGGAGGGTAAGTGAGTTTTCCGGTATCGCTGCGGTATCATGGTGGAAGAGAGAGAGAAAGTAGGGTCAAACTACAAGCCTAACTTCCAGGAAGACTAGATAATTCGTTCCAATATTTCATCCACTTCTTATATTATGTGTTACAATGACATTATAATTATGGCGAATGCGACAAATTAATCCTGTAATGAGTAACTTCATAAAATATACTGATAGAATTATTAGTTTTCATTTTTTATTTGCGATATTATTTTCCGCACCTAAGAGTGTTTTTTGTAAAAATATTTATCTGTTGTGCTAAGATAATTAAAAAATTAAAAACTCCAATGTACGTGTACATTGGGTTTATTTGTACAAAGCATAAATAATTTGTATAATACTGGTTTCTAAGGCAGTATTTGTAATTAATTTTAATTTTATTTAATAGTAAAGTGCATTTGTCCATCTATGCACTGCATTGTCGGGTTGATGAATTGCAGGTGGTAGTTCTTTAGCAAGATGATCACAAGAAGAATAAAAGGTGATTGTTAAAATCAGTTCCTTGTTTTACTCTGATGCCCTCATTTCTTGGTACTCGATTTCTCAATGGTAAACGGGGACAATATCAAATTGAAACCAGGGCAATTACCATTTTTCAATGTGATGCATCGTTTTGGCTGAAACTTTCTGAGACCTTTTCAGCCCTCAGAACGATTGCATTCTTAGGCTTCGCCGGGCCCCACTTGAGCATCTGCTTTTTGCGACGGGGCCCATCTTTCCGGCTTTGTCTCACCTAAGAAAAACGGTATCGGTTGACATGATTTTACATTCTCGTCATTCCTTCGTCATTCCTTTACGTCATTCCTTTACGAAGATACATAGAGTGCAGAGGATCGCCCAGCAATTACGATCACCTGGTTGACCTAATTCAGGAATACGAGGTCAAAGGAGGACCATATGAAGAAGAGATGGTAATTAAGAAAGAAATTGGCGTTAACTGGGCCGAAACGTCGGCGTCAACATCATTCGAACTATAAATGATAAAAGATTCCCTCGACGAGATCAAGAAAACTATGCAAGAACAAAAATTTGCTTCAACAGGTAGAAATTACTCTGAAGATAGCGATAGCGATCAGCGAGATGAGGAGTATCCAGTACGTTCAAGAGACGGCTATAACAACATAATTTGTTACTATTGCCAGTATGAAGGCCATGTTATAGCAAATTGTCGAAAACGTATGTTCAATAATGCCAAACAATGGGAAGATACTGATAAAAATAATCTTGTTCAGAGTCAATATTCCCAAGACTAGGAAACAATAACGATGTACAGCGTCATTATAGAACCAAAACTAAAACGGCATAAAAAATTCCCGACGAAAATGACCATAACTTAACAAAGCAATTCAAGTCCAACGATCAAGAAAACCAAGCATTCTATAAATAAGAAGTAAGTTAAATTTCTGGCTGTTAGCTCCAGACATAGAAATTCATGTTTCAAGTCTATGAAGAACTACAAATCAAGGAAATCAAGTCTATAAATCCGAAATTAAGTCAAATTCTGTTACGTAAACTCAAGTTCTGTTACGAATATTTTGAGTTTACCAAATCAAGTCAAGCTCTGCTACGAAAATTTAAGTGTTGCTCCGTAAATTCAAGTCAAATTTTGAGTTACAAAATCATGTCAAATTCTGCTACGAATATTCTGGATTACCAAATCAAGTCAAATTCTTCTACGAAAATTCCAGTTCTGCTACGCAAATTCCAGTTCTGCTACGAAAATTCAAGTTCTGCTACGCAAATTCCAGTTCTGCTACGAAAATTCAAGTTCTGCTACGCAAATTCCAGTTCTGCTACGAAAATTCAAGTTCTGCTACGCAAATTCCAGTTCTGCTACGAAAATTCAAGTTCTGCTACGCAAATTCCAGTTCTGCTACGAAAATTCAAGTTCTGCTACGCAAATTCCAGTTCTGCTACCAAAATTCTAGTTCTGCTACGCAAATTCAAGTCAATGCTTCATAAAGTTACCAGATCTGATCAACGAACTCAAGTAACCTACTACCATTTCAGCATACTCTGTCAAGAAGAAGAAAGGCCATCGACTTCATGAGAGGACCTGAGGTTTACCAGTTCAATATTCTTGAATTCAACGCCAAGAAAATTGTAAAAACAACTAAAATCAGTGAATGGAGCAATATCTAAACCTAACTAATTACACGAGTCTCAAGATAATACCGAAAAATAAGGAATCATTATAAACACGCTTCAATGCGGTACCTTCAGCTCTTCTATTCTCCCGATTTCAAATTCTTGGTTACCTTAATTAATTGGTAACCATTGAAAAATTAATTGGTTAGCATAGAAAAATTGATTGATAACCATAGCAAAATTATACGATGACCATAAAAAAAATTATTGGTTACCATAGACAAGTTGCTTGGTAACTATAGAAAAGTGACTTGGTAAACCTAAAAAAATTAATTTGTAAGCATGGAAAAATTCATTGGTAACCAGTAGACCAATTAATTGGTAACTATGATAAAGTTAATTCGTAACCATGGAAAACTTAATTAGTAACATTAGAAAAATATGTACTAGCCATGGAAACATTGATTGGTAATTTTAGAAAAATACTTAATAACATAAAAGTATTAATATAGTTGGACGGTCAGTCATGTAAATATGCATGAAATTTCTCCCGTTTTAAGACTGGTTAATATTGCAGTTATTTACCAATAGGTTCTATATAATTGGTAACTACGTTATATAACTCGTAGCCACGTCATATAACTATTAATCACGTTATATTACCGGTAACCATATTATGTAACCACCTCCCTGGGTGGAGTTTAGAGTCTGAACTTTAGACACCAACAGTCTATCAGAGTGCTGGAATGTTACGGAAAATTATAGCATGGGGCTTACTCGATATATTTATCTCGAGCGATAGTTTAAAACTTTATATTTTGCCCGACTTTACGACGGGCTTAACTGCTAGTCTGTTTATAATTTACTGTTGACTTGTCAGTTTGAAATTAATACCAGTACTAATTAAAAATTAATGACAGGGCCTAACACTGTTTTGCTCCCTTTTGCGGCAAACTATATAAGAGGTAAAGCGTATTAAAATGAAACTAATCTTAATTTAAAAATAAAATAGTTTAAATTCTTAGTTAGAAAATTATATATTTAGATTTATGTTCACTTTGTGGAGAATAATGCCTTCTTCATAAATAATCTTAATTGATAACAACTTTGAGTATCCGATGTAATTGAGGGTTGTTAGGTAAAATAAATATATTGTAGAATCTCAAATGTTCGCAGTGGTTTTTATCTTGTAAAGTTTAATTACTTTCAAACTGACAGGTTAACAGTAAATGATAAGGAAAATGATATGTTTCCTTTCATGTATTCAACCCAGCTTTGTGATAAGTGACTCAACATAAAATTGTATTAACTTGTGCGTGGAATATTTGGAGTAATGTGCTGCCAGCCAACGCCCAGTCAAAATGTCTCTCATTTGCTCAATGTGTCATAAAACTTTGTTCGAGAAAAACTTGGAAGTGTCCACCGCGAAATGTGGACATTTATTCCACACTGGCTGCATAGATGAGTACCACACCTGGACATTGAAGAAGGATTCCAGTTAGAAATATGTCAATCGGTGTCCTAAATATCGCAGGGTGACGAAGCAGCCCTTAAACCATCAGCGACTTTAGAAACACCGCCAATGACACTGGAAAGACCCCTTGGCGAATTAACAGTCGGCCATCGACTAAAGTTTGACGTTGTAAAAAAAGATGGCGCAAATGTTACCCTATCTGACCAAAGTGTAGAATCGGAGCGGCAGAAACAGGAACAAAAACGGCACGACGAATCCCGTCAAGCCGAAGAAAGACGACGAGAAAGCGAGCATCGCGAAAAAGTGTGGAATGACGAACAGGCCAGACTCGAGCGGGATTTTGAATTTGAAAACTCCCAAGTCAAAAACCGCCACGATCAACGCATCCGAAGTTATGAGCAGCACCGGAATAGCCACGAACAATTGTGTAAGAGCCGGAACTCCGAGCTTGAACGGTCCTTTGCTGAATTTAAGAGGCAAGTTGACCAGGCAAATAAGCAGTTGGAGGACAAGAAACGAACTTTTGAGCAGCAGCAGCGGACTACTTCTAGAATTCAGGAGTGGGAGCGCGCCGTGAAGGATTACAAGAGTAAGATGGACTCCCTAAAGGGGGAAGCAAAAAGTAGTCAGTGCCGAGCTAGAGCGCAGTAGGGAGTCACTGGAAAGGGAGAGGTTGGCAATGGAACGGGAAATGGGGCAGGCTAACAGTAATCTGGAGAGGAAACGGAAGATGGTGTTTGACCATTTGAAAACGAGGCCTTAATAAAATGGCATGTCGAGATGTTTCTAGACATTTTTAGTCTTTGTCGATATAAAATTTTTCGTTTTAGAATTTTATTGGGGAGATTCTTAGATTAATTTGGAGGTTGAGGCGGCAAATTTTAATTGGGATGAGATAGAGTAATTGAAATGTGTAAAGATTAAGGTACAAATTTAAAATAAAATACGTAACACATGAGTAAACCCTAATTCCACAAGTTGAGCATCAACCAGAATATGTGAGGCAATAAAATTTCAATTAAACTTGAAAATGAGAATGGATTTGAGAGTAGAGGACATTTTGTTTTAAGTTCCAACTAATCTCGCCAGGAAATGAGTTGAGTCTCAGACGGGGTCCGTGTCGTCTCATTGGAAGCCCTAGAATTAAGTTGAGCAAATTTTTATTGATTTTTGGTAATCGTATGCATTTTTCTTACTCTATGAACAAGCAAGTTTACTTTTATGTTCAGGAATAAAAATTAATAGTCGACTGAGAGTGAAACCTTGATAAACAATGGAACAATTGGTATTGTCTGATACTTAAGATTTCTTACTTTCCAGCTGTCACAATGGCATTTAAATTTAGATATTTCACCATTTTGGTCGTGCCAAACTTGGTTTCCAATTGATTTTTGTTGAATAATTTGACATGTTGCTGGTAATATTATTTTATATATTTTTCTCGTGTCGAGTCTCCCTAATAAATTCAAAGAGTCTGGAAAATACACCCGGAAATTACGCTCTTGATTCCAAACTTCTACACAAGTTGGGGGCCCTGGAGGATGAAATGGTTCCAGTTTTGAAGGGATTGGTAGCCTCGTGTGATTCTGGAACTTGCCAAAAATCTGCATGTCGCGATGTAATAGTTCGGTAATATTTACGCGATTAAACTGGTGACGTTAATAAATTAACTTTCATTTTTGAGCGGAACCTACTCATTTAGTTAGTAATGCGTTATTTAGAAAGTCGGGCTAAATTTAAATATAGGGTAGGGTGGGGTTAGTGTGGACACGAGGCAATTGTGGACACTGGATATTTTTATGTGTAAACATCATATATTTCCAAAAATTAAAATATCACCTCATACTACAAGCCATACTGCTTCTAAGTTATAAGTTTGAAGAAATCCAAAAATCGCCTTCATCTCATATTTTATAAATTAAAAAAAAGTAATTTAAAAAGTTTTTTCTCAAATGGGGTTAGTGTGGACAGTTGATTCTCCATGTTATTAGGTTAGAGTGTCCACACTAACCCCATTCGGTGGGGTTAGTGTGGACACCTGTTTTTTATTTTCAAAAATTAATAGCTATTCATTCTAATTACATTTTTCATAATTTTCTTTTCGTAAAATATGGTGTGATGGTTAATCCATTATACAGTTTTTTCAAAATAATTAATTTTAACATATAACTATTTTTAATTTGGAAGACCATCTTACTTCGCTGAAAAGTGTCCACACTAACCCGCACTGACCCTAACTTTTCACATTCATTATTCTCAAGTTTAATTACAAATTACTGAAAAAGGAAATAAAATGTCCTTCTGGTAATTTATAATCAAATTTAAGTATTGACAAGGCTAAAATTATTTTTGATAAGGTACTTGGATGAGTATCCCACCACACTGGAGGGCGGTTCAGAAAAAATTCAGGAATTTAAGGAAAATCCATTCTATTCGTTCAAGTTGCTGGTTCGAATTGGAAACTCACTAGCAGCCGCTAACGTTACTTGCCGTTCTGAAGATGGTTGGTTTCCTCAATGGACGGACAGTTTCCACATCAACGTTTGCAGAAGACGGTATGCTGAGATTGCAGATGACGTATAACATGACGGCAGAAGAGGTGCACACTTTAAGGTTCATCTTAGAAAAGTAGTACGTTGTTAACTACGTTTTTCCAGTTTGCCGCGGGAAAACTGGCAGAATATAATTTCAACTTGCCCCTATCATTGGATGAGACTTTAATTTTAGCAGACGCCGCGAGACTTGTGGAACGCTTCGACGTTAATATTGAATTCCTTTCATTGGCAGTTAAGAAAACTGGGTCATCTGACCTTAAGGCGGAGATAGAGAGAACTCTTGCCGATTCTATAGATGATGTAATAAATCGCGGGAGGATTTTAAACTTAATTTTGTGCCAAATCAAGTTTTTTTTATTTCTAAGAAGATTGACAGGGTCTGATATTGAGCTTGGGGTTAACTAAGATTTAATTTAAAACAGCACAACAAGTTGTGGATGGAACTAGCAAACGAGGAAGACATCGACCGTATCGGATTATTTGCGGAAATTGTTACACATGTGGAACCGCTGGAGCTCCCGCCAGCAATAATCCACAGAGTCCGACAATCCGCCGCAGATGGTTTCCTTGACAAATATCCAGAATTGAATATGTACAACCTATGTGTCAGTGGTAGGACTAAGGTGCAGAATTTATTCAGACTTTTAAAGATTTGATAACGCCGTACCAACTAAATTGAGCAACATGCAGGATTGGGTTAATTTACAAAAATTGGTAAAATTCGGTCATTTAGCACGTTTAGTTTCTGCACTTTGCTCTTTTTATAAGTAGTATGACGATATTCTATTCCCTGGTAATGAAGACCGAACGAATTTAACAACTAATTTTCGTAAACTAATTATTTTAGATCAATTATCTTTACAGACTGCAGAACTGTCCAAGTTGAAATGCTGGTACGAAACGTCTCAGACTCACCCCTACTTTATCATTTCGCCCCTAAAAATCGAGCAAATTTCGACAAACCGTCGCGCCAATGCGCGTATAATTCACGGTGCGATCGGCGAAAAGCGCATTGCGACTTTGCTCGATGTGACCAAAGGGGAAATGAAACAAGCGAACATCAAGGATTTCGATACTAACGTTGACTCCGTTAGTCCAAAAAGAACTTCGATACAGGTAAATACAATTACTAATTAACTTCATAAATTAAAGACACCAGTAAAAAATTAATGTTGAATTAATGAAACGTAGATTAAACTCCCAGATGAGTACAGCGACTTTCTACGCCCTTTATACGAAGAAGTTGGAGCATTGCTTGATCATAACTTTTTGACGAAATGGATGAGTGGAGATTTATACATTTCTGAGTACTGTTACCTGGGAGCGCACTTCGATCTGCATTATGATATTGATGTGGTAAATGTTTTATTTTACTAAGTCCTATAAATTTTGATGTATAATTATCGGTAAATAATTGTATACTTCTTATAGGGAGATTCCACCAAAGATACGCCCAGTTCGTACGAAAGACTGGCAACCTTAATGATATATGTGAGTTGGACTGGGTGGTTTGATACAGAAAAACGCATAGCCACTCTATGATTTTTTGTTAAAGTTTCCTTCATTTTCCCCTAAAATTGAAATATGGATAGCAAGAGATTCGTATGTGAAGACAAGGTAATTTTGTGCACGCAGTTAACCGATGTTCCCTTGGGGGGTAAAACTGTGTTTCCTGATCTCGGCGTGGCCGTGCAGCCGAGTCGAGGGGCTGCCTTGATTTGGAACAATCTCAGTAAACAGGATGGATCTCCGGTTATGGAGAGTATCCATGGTACGTTTGGCATATCGTCGTATTACTTCTGAAAAAAGTAAACTGGTTACGTCGGTTACTTCTAAGAAGAGAAAAGTGAGGACAACGTACTTGTTAAATGAGAGTATTTTGTCCCATTTTTTAGAATTATCGGATTAGATAGATATTTAACTATTTGTATGATGCAATCCCGATATATATTTTCATAATTTGTTGAACAGGTGGATGTCCTTTAGCCTATGGACGGAAGGTAATAGCAACGAAATTTATTCATCTAACGCCCCAAATTGAAGAGATGGCGAAAAATTACTAGAAAAATTATCTAAGACCTTACAAACTGCTACCACGATTTAAATAAATAGATTAAATTTGATGAGGAAATATGTAAACAATAATCAAATGAATGCATCATTATATAAATGAAAATATTTATTGCAAATATAGCTTACAATAAACCACAGCATGCGTTAGAAATAGCTCGCCCGTAACTTCCTATAACAAGTTCTATTTTTGTGCACTATTGGTGCAAGCGAGTCAATATTATTGAGTTATATTAGTTATTTAATCCAATTCTTCTGCACTGATGATATAAATAAATCTAAATTAAATTAAATTTGCATGTCCAGTCTAGTTTTGCATCATTGGTGCAAAATTGTGTTTCTATTTCTCCCGACTATCTTTTTTTTACCTAAGGTGCCAAAGAAACGAACTAAATTGATACATAATTCTGTCACAATTTTAACTTTTTTGCACAAACGGTGCAGAAGGAACGGGTAAAATTGATGAAGAATTTTGACACTTGACCTTCGTGAGTTGGTTCCAATAGGCCAAAATTATAACAAAAATATTTGCCGATTTCTCAGTGCTGTTGACCCCTTTTAGGTCCATTTATCCTTTTTGGGTGGAACAAGTTATTTAAAAAAGGTCTTCGAATGTTACTCAATAATGGCGCTTAACGCAGTATTAGGATTAAAATTGCATCAATTGAGGCTTATATTGTTGGAACACACAGACGGACGGACGGACAGACGGACACGACGAGTTCAATTGAACTCGTCGTGTCCGTCTGTCCGTTCGTCTGCCCGTCTGTCCGTCTAGTTCGTTTCTTTAGCATTTTTGGTACAAACAACCTATGTGGTAAAACCACGAAAAACTCTATTTTGGCTTTTCGATATAACTAAAAGTCGCAATACGGCTTCTGGTAGTCAGAAGCCGTATTACGGCTTTTCGATATAACCAAATGTCGTAATACGGCTTTTCGATATAACCAAAAGTCGTAATACGACATTCGGTAGTCAGAAGCCATATTACGTCAAAAGGGAGGGTTTCTTCCTGTCCTGGTTCCAATCTTAACTACAATAGTTGGCGGACTTGTTGGAAAATGGCTAGAAAAATGAAGGTAGTACCAGAGAGTTGGTACAAGAAAATCATGGCATTGAATTCACAGCAGGATGTCGAATTGGATCTTGAGGAGAAACTTAAAGCCGAGAAAACCAACATCTTTGGAAATTCTACAATCCCTGACGAAATCAAAATTCTGCTTTTGCAAAATTTAAATCGTCAACTGATTGATAACAAGAAGCAGGATGACAAAAAACCGTTACTTGTCAAGAATGTGGAGAATGAAACGTCTGAACCAGCGTTATCAGTTTCACAAAGCAAAACATCCCGCGAAGTTGCAAGTAGTATTCTCGATGTCCTTTTAAAGAATACAACTGTGCGAGGACGGAAAATTCTGGAGTTTCTTAAAGACAATAGTGCAAAAATAACTTCAGATAAAATCGATGTAAATGGTGTGAGCTACGCTTTAGCGAAGATGAACACTCTTCTTGTTGGACTATACCATGGCTTCACACCAAAATCCAGTCTAAAATCTGATCCATCCATGTTGAGTTTGTTGATGTTTATAAAGACCAAGAAACCGCCAATGGATCTATTTCCAAATTCGGTCAACCAATTTCTTGCCAAGCAGAAGGGAAGTGGCCTTAAAAGAAGACAGGGAAAGAGGGCTGCTTGGATTAAAAAGAAGAAGCCTGATTGCAAGATGAACCAATTGACAAGGAAAATGCAAAAGTGGAACCCATTTTAATTTCATACAAAGTTTATTGAATTTTGATGTATTTTCTTGTTACAACATTTTTTACTTAATAAATGAATCTTGTTACTTATAAATTCTTTCACAAATCTATCATTTTTAGAATAATCTTTTGAAAAATTACAATATACATTTCTTACACTAAAACCATTTACTCGTTTCCACAGAAACCAAATTGCATAGTGTCCGCATACGTTACTGTTTGGAGATTGTAATTGTATACAAGTTTGCACTACACCAGTTTCATGACGTTGGATAAAATCATGAAAATTACGGTCATATTCATCAATTCCTACTCCATAACTACAGAAAAAGTTGATTGGCAATGTCCTATTTTCAATATACATACAAGTCCAGTGTTCGCCTGGGTGAGACGTTGGTGGGTTATTAATTACAATTGCAATAGGATAATTTTCTAAAACAAGTTCATCCAACTCATCGCACGCGCAAACGTCAAAGGGATATTGCTTTTACAAAAGAGTCCCACTAGAAATCGATAAATCTGATCCGTGTTCATCCTACATGGAGTAGTCCTTAAAGTAAATATGACGATTCTTGTCAACATACAAGACTGATTGATAATCACAATGACAAAGAACTGTTAATGCAGTCGTTGTCGCATTTCGTAGCTTTATTTCTATTTTCACACTGCCGTGTCTGGGTATAGCGAATCCATCATGTTGATGCCTCAAGTCAAAAACATAGAGCGTCTTTCCAGTTTTAAAATTGTCAAATGTTAGCTCTAATCCAGTGTCAAGATTTGATAGACCCAATCCCGAAAAGATGCTAAAGTAGGCTTCAATACTTTTCTTATTATCAAAGTCAAGTTCGAACGTTTGGAATGTTACTTGCTCCGAGTTCACCGTTACAGTAATGCTTGATATGTCTGCTTGAATAAAGTTAAATGGATTTTCATTGTAATGCCCGTGTACAGCCTTGCTCGAGATAATGCCAACCACTAGACGGTCTGGCAAGAGTCCCGTAATTAGACTCTCGTTTGTATATTGTAGTGTTCCGGCTGACAGGGAAAATGATTTCATATCTCCTCTTCGCATTGGGTAACATGCAGGTTGCCCCTTTTCCATCAATCTTAAATGACCCATCGTAATTGACGGAAGTAGAGTATGTTTTTGAACAACGATTTTGGCTTCGATAATGTGAAGTTGTGCTGCATCTTGTGCATTTCCGCTTGTTGGGGTCTTGCTAAGTAGACAAAAGTCGTCTGGTGCTCGGTAGAGCTCAATTTTTATGTCAACTCCTGGAATGCAAAATCTGTTTTGGTTAAATATGTCCGTCTTCAGTTTTCCGCACAATTCAAACACTTTGCTATTGTTTGCCAATTTCTCTCGAGTCTTCCACCCTTCATCGGCCGTAGTTGGATCGGCTTCCTTGTGATAAAGTGCAGCCATTGCTTGAGTCTTGGTATATTCTTTGCCGAAAGACAAAGGAGTCTCCAAGTATGCCTTGTAGGGGTATAATGAAGTTGGTGAGGTGATTTGGGTATCATTAAAATAAATTGCAACTTGACTAAACATTGAATGTAGGAAATTGTTAACAGGGGCAGTAGTATTTTGAGTGTCTCTCTCTGCACCCTTGCTATCCACAATCTTGCATCGAATATAGAGTTGGGTTTCAGAAAAGTCAATGTATTGTGAGTCATTTCCTTGAATAATAAACGTTAGAGGAGTGGACCGATCTGAAATGTTTGTTATTGGATGATAATCGACTCGGTGAGAGCTAGAAAGAGTCAAGTCGTAGCCCGGTTCAGAGAATAGATCGGTCTCTGACCGAATAAAGTTCATGATTTGCTTTGATTTTGCCATTTTCTCAGTCAAATAAGGATGGTTTGGAAATGAGCTTTCGTCTGGTCCTCTTCTTTTTCTTCTTCGTTTTTGATTTTAAACGTTTGACAGGTTTACGTTTTGGCTTTCGTTTTATTTCACGTTTTCTCGATTTGCGAGTGGTCGTCTGACGTTTTCGAACTATCCTTCTTCGTCTAATCCTTCCGCCAGACTGGTTAAGTAAATTAGTTCCAGTCTCTTTTAAGGCAGTCATTGCATTCGAGCGTAAAGAATCTTTGAATGATTGTCTGTTATTTATGACATCAAGTGCAATATTTTTAACTGCTGATTTTAATGGAGGCACAACGTGAGGCAGCAATGATTTAACAAATGGTATTAAACGTCTAGCTATTACGCCAAATACACCACCAATACCAGCACCCTTTTGTCGATAGTAACTCGCCTTGTAAGCCAATGAGCCTCCAATCTGAGGTTCATATGCTTGGTAATAATCATCATATACGTTTTCTGAATACATTTTAGAATCATTTTCTTCTAAAATGGAGTGTAGCACTAAAACTCCCAAAGGAGAATGGTGGTGGTTTACCAAACTCGTTCCTTATATACATATGAATATAGTCCATTGACGGTTTTGACACTGAGACATATTGTAAGTCGTTGAATGTTTTTGCAATTATTTTATCAACATCAGTATAAGGATTTACAAAAGACCTTAGGATTGGGGCTGTGGTGTCACCCACATGCTGGTTTTCTACAATGTCACAATAAATATAGTATTTCGTGTTATTTGATTTAAAGTTAAATTTATATTCTGCACTTAAGCTGAAGGTGGTTTTAATTTTATGAGAAAAACCGAGCAAGTTGGCCATTTCATCATTAAATTCAAAATCATAGCGTATGTCGTCTTCAAATGTCCATGTGGATAAAAGAGTATATCCATTATATTGTTTAAACACAAAGTGTTCCGTTGTCATTGCTTCAAGTAATTCGTCAAATGTTTCAATGTTTCTATTGTTGCAAACTGTTATCCATAGATCGTCAGTTTTATTCTCGGCATACGTATTATAATTTAAGTTGACAAGTGGAGCAGCCATGTTATGAAATGTTAAGTTGTCGTTTACGTTATTAGTAACGTTATTACTTGTTCTTTTCACTTTGTACAGTTCATCACCCTTTGCAAAACGAATAGGTGATGAAGGGTAAGCACATTCTACCAATGCAACTTCGTACGAGTTGGGCTCTAAAATTATTGGTGAACTTAACCAATTTCTGAAGCTTGATATTGTATTATCCTGAAAGTGAAAAAAAGAGGAGTTGCTCTCAATGTGAACGTAAAACGAAGTCATGATGAAGTAATTTCAACTGTGTTGACTAAACTCGTGTGAAGCTCGCCAAATTTATGTATGGTGTTTTATAGCCCAACGTATGATTGTTTTTAAATTGACGAAACCATAGCGATGTTTTGTTTTCATACTGTTTCATTATTTTAGCTCTCTCTTGATTTTCGTAATTATCTTGAGGTTTGCATATGGTGTTGTTTGAATTTCTACCTTCGATTATATAGTATGAACACATCACGAGTAGGACCATGTCCAAGGCAAAAATACCTAGGCTCAACCAAACTATGGTTGAAATTTTAAATGAAGAAACCTTTACTATCCTAGCTTTGCTGAGAGGTGAATTGGCCGATTAGCCAAAACTCGTTATGGAAAAACTTCAAAACCCTGCCAATTATCCAATTTTCAACCGATTTTCGATTTTCTAAATGTTTCGGAAACCTCTGACCGTGGGGCAAATTATATATTCATACCCTTAATTTATACCTTTGTGATCATTTTAAGCATAAAATTTTGAAAATCCCCCCGAAAATGCAAAAGTTATGGGGGTTTGAAATTGGTCGAAAACGCAGATTTTTAAGTTTGGCGCCAAGCCACGGCGCCAAATATGAGTTTTACACGGAAATAAGAATGGATCCTTCATTTAGGGTCCTAGCAGATTCTAAAAAACATAGTGGCTACCCTGGACACGAACGACAGGTCGTGAGTGTCCCTTGTTAGGAAAATTCGAAAATTCGCTATTAACCACACCCACTGGGGATGAGGTTCCTAAATTTCAATAATTCGGTTGAGATCCTCTCATCGATATTGGAAAATGATATATCACATGACATGGTTTAATTTAGTTCGAAAAGTCAAAAATGACCACGCCCACTGGGGGTGTGGTTTCAAATTATAATTATTCAATGATGATCCCTTCGTAGAACTGAGAAAAATGATGTGTTACAACCCATGTTTTGGATAAAATCGAAAAGACGCAGAGGGTCACACCCACTGGGGGTGTGGTTTAAATTTTCTAATACATTAATCTGGATCTCCCCGTCGAGCTCAGCAAAATGACATATCACATGACATGGTTTCGATTAAATTGGAAATGCGCCGAGACCACGCCCACTGAGGGGTGTGGTCGCAAAATTTTTCTTATTCAGTCGTAATCTCCTCGCCAAGCTGAGAAAAATGATATGTCACACGACCCACTTTCTCTAAAACTAGCCAAAAGCGCCGAAAGCCACACCCACTGGGGGAGTGGTTTTTTAAACTTTTATATCTCGAATAGAGTGCCCTGACTTTTCTGACAAAAATGATATGTCACAAGACCCACTTTATCAAAAACTGGTCGAAAGCGCAGAAAGCCACACCCTCTGGGGGTGTGGTCTTGAAAGTTTTTGCAATGACCTAGACGGCCAACGGGTAACCAAGACAATAAGTGGCAGTTGTGTAATCAAAATATTTTTTGGGGTCGCCAGGGAGTACATAAATATTTACCTCGTTTTTATGACCTTGTGACCTGAATTAGAGTGGGTGGGGTCAAAATTTTCAAAATTTGGGAACGTATAATTTGCCCCACGGTCAGAGGTTTCCGAAACATTTAGAAAATCGAAAATCGGTTGAAAATTGGATAATTGGCAAGGTTTTGAAGTTTTTCCATAACGAGTTTTGGCAAATCGGCCAATTCACATTTCAGCAAGAATTGGTTTCTTCTTTTGAAATTTTCACCATAAATGTTTTGGTACACAGTAGAGTGATGAGGTTTTGAGATATTTGCGACAATTGAGATTTTGGGGGTAATTTGAGATTTTTGGGGTATGTTGAGCTTTTTGGCGTAATTTGAGATTTTTGGGGTACTTTGAGATTTTGGGTAATTTGAGATTTTTGGGGTAACTTGAGATTTTTTGGGGTAATTTGTGATTTTGGGGTAATTTTGAAACTTCCCACCGCAAAATTGTATCGGCACATGAATTTAAATATGCAAGGATTTCCTACTCGGGTTGTCGGGTATGTGGGGAAAAGACACCATAGGATTTTTCCTACCCATGTTGTGGGTATATGGGGAATAAACACCATAGGCTTTTTCCTACCATAGAATTTTTCAAAATGCTGGTATTTTTCGAATTTTACCCCGTTTTCAAACATTCAAGGATTGCTGATTGATTCTGATATGCACTTGTAATGCGTAAGTGTTAGGTGGTTATCTCCGATTTTGACCGGACTGGTTTTAAATTGAATATGGCCATAACACTTGTTTAAATTTTTGGTCATAATGATGGAACTGATACAAATCCATCAGCAAATTGTTTTTCTTACTTCTTGAATAATTTATTAATTTCTACATCTAATGACACGCTATGCTATTGTGGTATTAATCGATACTTTTAAGTACTGTTGTAAAATCCTTCCAGAGTATTTTAGAATATCAGAACATGTTTTAACCCGACTTCTTGTACGAGATCGTTGATTTATAGAAGATGATTGTATTTTTTAACCTTTCGTCACAGTTTCAGTTTCAGTTTCGTTTCAGTTTCATATGATCCATATTTTATTTAATCTTGTTCGATAATTAGCCGTACTTCGTTGTACATACCTGAAGTTTTATCTCTCAAGTATCACCATGCATCATAAATACTTCCAAACTTACCACAAACTATATATAATTTGCATCTGGCAATTTTTATTTGCGCTAGTTGTAACCTCACGACGAGATATCGATGGGTGCATTCTGCACATCAGGGTTAATCAGGGTATCAGTGTCGAAAAAATTGAAGATTAATTAATTAGCAAAGGTTCCCATCCTACTAGCCGAAATTCATTAGTAATTTTTAACAGAGCATTATGGATAGTGCAATCATCTTCGTTTACATACTGGCCTTTAGTGTCTAGATACAATAGCAACCTGGGGATCGCCCTCCTTTCCAAAAGTATAATTGTTACGAAGAGTGAGAATGCAATATATTTTGACTACGAAATAAGAATGGGTGGATTCGTCCCTTCCCTGGCCCATCTCATTCTTAGACCAGATTTCATATTTGTTTTGGTAATTCGAGATAACCTGATACCAAGCGTAACGTGTTACGACTGCCTAATACACTCGTTTTCGGTATACCTCATGCCACTACAAATGAATTCTTACGCTAATGATTTTGTAAAACTAGAAGACCTCCCAATTCGTTACTCTTACGTGAGACAACTCCAACAATTCGAACCCATTCTAAACCAACATTTTGTTTTCGGTCACCTCTACTCTACCCCGCTATTTCCTCCGGATACTAACCATAGAGGATTTCCCGTTACCATAAAACTCCCTGGTACGAAGGACCTTCCCAGCTGTCATGCTTGAATGGATGGAATACGTGCCCGATATCAGGACACATCTATTAATTTGTGTCATAGGTACGTAGAGGAAGTCGTTTTTCTAGCTAGAACTCTTAACTTTACTCCGTACCTGGTTTCAGTTAATGCCGAAATCGCGATGTAATTACGGGCATGGATAGATTCGGGTTTTCCTCGAGAACCCGTTGGGACGATGAGGTTCAAGCATTCGTCAAGTATTGCAGACCATACGTCCGCTTCCAGACATCGCTGAGGGTCTGGTTTACCCCATTCGATTCAAGTGTATGGAGCGGGATGTTTCTAGTTTTCCTTTTGATTTCTAGCTCTACTGGAAATCCTGGCAAAAACAAACCTTTG